AGAAATATCGAAGGTGGGAGAAGTTGTCGACATCGAGAACTGAGAAGAAGAGAAAGGGACATTGAAGGTAGAATGAGCAGTAGAGGAAGGTGGCTGGGGCAAGTTCTTGAAAAAGCCCTAGCTATTACAAGGAGGGAACCTATAGTAGAGGAGGAATAAAAGGAAGGCGGGGTTTTTAAGTTTTTGGGATTTTATTTTTCCCAGATGAAATGCTCGCATTATATTAAAATTTATAAAACGACAGGCTTAGACGACATAGATTTTATTATAGGTGCCCTCTGTGTTTTTTTTGTTTAGACGCTAATTTTAGGTCACGCAAAAATGCGTGTCAAAAATCCTTTAAATTTTTCAAAACTGACATTATTTTTTAAGGTACCCTCAAATGCGCGTCCTCTATCAGCGTGTGTCATTGTTTCCGTGTCATTAAAGGGCTGTTTTCTACTAGTGAAAGCAACTATGGAATTCGTTTCCATCAAAAAATCTGTTGCATAGTAATCACAATAATTAATTCCATAGCAGCAGTACAACATAAAGTGATTTTGTAACAAATTTCGTTGGAAAATTGCTACGCATTTTTTTTCCGTAGAAATATTGGTAGCATAATACCAACAGATATGGAGTCGGTAGCATTTTCCCTAGTAAATCTCATTCTTGCTACCGGAAATAAAATATGTTGACAATGTGGTAGCAACCTTGCTACGGAATGACATTCCATCACACGATCCGTTGCTGATTAACAACGAAAATACGTTCGATAACGACCTTCCCTAGCAAAATCGCATTTTTCTTGTAGTGATTGTTCATTCATGGACAAAGACTTGCATGTATGATTCTATTATGTATAAATGAATTAATTTTTCACTTTGAAAGTGAATTCTTTCGTTGCTTTTGGTTGTTGCATGGATCTTTGATGAAAATCACCAATAAGTATCATTTATTGTATCTTGTAATAATGTCAGATTGTGCAGTTTAAATCAAATAAAAGTTATGTAAGATCCTTAAACTATTATTATTATTATTATTATTATTATTATTATTATTATTATTATTATTATTTGTGATTTGCAACCCCGAATATAGTAGTTAACATACAAATGTACTCCACCGGATGTTGAAGGAAACTCGAGAAGATTTGTCTAGATTTAAACATGTTCTTGTGAATCCGGAAGTTAAGTTACTTTATATATATCATGATCCATGATTCATGTGATGTGTATGTTTTGACATTGGCTTTGCATGTATGCATCCAGGTCTAGATAAGAAGACCACCATTTGTATGGTCAGTTTGAATCAGAGACCGGAAGAACATGAAAAAGAAGTTTTGTTGCATCTTTTCATATTTCTATGTATTTTATATTGACATTTTTCTTGTTTGTTATGCGCAAAAGTAGGTTTGTAATATTTGGTTGTGGCAACAAAATTAGATTTGTATTATGTTATTCTCTTTTTCTATTTCGTTTGTGTCTATATAATCCACTTTTTAAATGTAATTTGTTTTTTTGGTAGAATTAGTAACACAAACACAAATCTAAACCCTCCAACCCATGCAAAGCATGAGAAACTTCTCTAGTATATAATAATAATAATAATAATAATAATATTTAACTATTTAAGGAATAAATTATATAAAAATTCATATTAAATACGATACAAAGACGACATAGAAATATTATTATCATAATCGGTTAAATATTTTTGTTTGAATTATTAAGTGTCTATTAGGTGAAACGTCGAATGCTCCTACTAATTTAGATTTGTTCGGAAATTTTTTTGGGTGTCATTACTACTCAAACTTTATGTGTTTAACACTCTTTGAAATAGTCGTTCTATCAATGCATTAATTTGAACACTAATTTATATGCATTCGTTTGAATATTTTTATCAATAAAAATCTCACTTGAATATGATGAATGCTTATTTAATCTTATTGCCAATATTACATCGTGACAACTGCTATTTCATATTGCGGCCCATGATTGGTATTTTCTTTGTGACTGTAATAGTAACTTAGAATACAACACTAATAAATATTTAATTCTTTTTGTTAGTGTATTTTTATTGGTGTATTGTATGACACTTAATAAATACAACGAAATCGTTAATCAATTTCGATAATACTATGTTTGTATAGTTTTGGTATTATATCTATATGATTTATTTATTTATTTAAAATTAAATAATTTTGGTATTTATATATACTTAATTTTAATAATATAAAAAAAATTCAAAATTATATAAATTTATTTTTAATTTATTTAAAAAATAAAACCAATTATCGTCGTCATCATCATTACCACCTTCGAAGCCAACTACCACCGTCAACACTACTACCACCCTACTACCTTCGTTGCATGTACATCTGCGGCCACTACCACCACTACTATCACTACGATAACCCTCATTATTCCACCGCCACTAGGAGCACCATCACGTTCAATCCTCCACCGCCACTAGGTTCACTACCACCACGCCTACCACCTCTACTGCCTAAACCACCTCCAACAATACCATTATGACCTTGTTGCCAACACCACTACAACCAACTGCATTACCTTCATCACCAACACCATCATCACCTTTGCCACCACCGTCACCACCTCCGCCAGTAGCACCACCACCACTAGGACGATCACCTCCGAATCTTGATAAATAGCACGCTAATAACTACTAAATTACACACCATTTTCAATTGTAAGTAAAGACACTAAGTTTATATAGTAACGAGTCAGATTTTTTAATTTAAAATTTATATTATCATGCTTTATTCATATATATATATGTCTCTTATATTACATTATCTATTAATTTTAAATAAAATAATACTATTTATTATATATTTTGTTATTGTTTTTTAAATTCTGATGAGAATAAATCTCAGATCGTTTAGATCTTTCACATGTATAATAATAAAGAACAAACAATTCAAACACAATACGATTATGAACACAGAATAAAATCAATATAAGGCTTATGATTCAAATATAGTCACGCCTCAGCAGAGCTCGATGAAGAACTTCCATTATAGAGGCGAGCTAGGGTTTACAATACTTATGAGAGAAAACAATAAAAGCGTTACTGACTAAGGATGCATGTATGTACCTTAAATACTAAAAACCTAGATTAAAATAATGCACAGTTGGATAGGCCCAAACCGGCAACCAAAACTAGGCTAAGGACCGAGCCCATGATGCAACACAATAAGCCCATAAAAGCGTTCATTGTTTTCATAACCTTGAACAGCCAAGGGATGATTACAAGAAGAGTATGCCGAAATTGAATTTACCATCTCAGCATGCCAGTAAACATCTTCTTGTCGGCCGCTGAGTTCTGATTACACCTCTGAATGATCTCTAAAATGTGCTCCAAGAAATCAGTTGAGAACAGGTGCTTGTCAACAAGAGCGAACAAAAATATTTGACGTTCGTCCCTGAGAAAGATCACAGTGTGATATTTTGTGTCAATTTTGCCCTTGACCATCGAGTTTATATCGCCAACTCTTACCATTGGTTTGATCATGGTTCTCTTATGAATAGCTGAGGTGATTTCTTGATCCATCTTTGCTACTTCGTAAATGTAGCAAACGAGCATTCACTTGATATGGTCAATGATCGTCTGATACTCCTGAGGATTCAATAGTAAGATGTTGTTGAGGAGTATCCATTCATGAGGGTTGAGGTTCGGTAAATCAGCTAGGGAGAAATTGTGAACCAAGCCTTTAGAGCCTCAAGCCACTTTAAATTTAACGTTAATGAACTTCCCTGCTGTATAAGGCTTCAGTACCTTGACAGTTGTAATCTTCTGTGAACTCTAGGTCAAGCACAATGGCTGAACGACATGACAGCACATCCTTTGAGTTTTCAAGGCCGAACGACATGTCAAACAGCACATCCTTTGAGTTTTCAAGGCCGAACGACATGACAGGTTCGAGCCAATGAGTACTTGGTTCATCAATAGTGCTTCTTTGAAGCGAATAAATAGTCCACTCTAGAAAAATAGACTTCTTCTTCTCCAAGATCTCCTTTTCTTTTCTATTCTTCTCCAACTCAACCGTTTCCTTCTTGAACTTTTCTTCAAGCTCTTTATCAGAAAGTTTTGTTTTCTGAAAAGGCTTAGAGGGATTTTCTTCAAATACATCATCTTCATCATTAGTATCATCTTCACCAATCTTCTTTTTCTTCTTGTCTCTTTTGCTGTCCGAAGCTTCATTAACCTTCGGTTTAGCTGTTGACTTAGGTTCAGGAGGAGGTTGAGATTTTGCCTTATCTCCCCCTTCTTTCGGCTGGACATCAGTCACCGAAACACCCTCAATTCGACTAAGGATATCCAAAGCCGGTCGGAGTTTGTCAGGCAAATGGCGTCTGATGGAGATAGTCAGAATGGGATCATGTGCGTCAAGAAGGTGAAATAGAATGGAATGAACGTCACCTACAGAGCTTCGAATGACCTCCCTTTCACACTTGAAGTCGTTAAGCTCGTTTGTTGCAGTGCGAAGCCTGAGGTTTTGCATTTTCAGCTGAGATGTATGCTTGTCTAACTCATCCATTATGTGATTTTCTACAGCCAACTCTACTTCCAGTTGAGTCAGACGATCATTAACATTGGCGTGAAGGGTGGCATTGGCAGCTTCAATGGCCTGACGAGCAGCTTCAAGATTAGATCTCTCAGCTTGAAGAGAACGCTGAAGATTATCAACCGAAGCATTCACTATCTGAGAGTTCTTTTGAGATGCAGCCTACAAAGAATCAAGAAAAAGTTGAGCCTCAGAAATTAGTTTATCGACTTTTGCGGTCGCTTCTTTGCATTCCTTCGTGGAAGCCTCAACAGCAAGCGAGGCTTTCTGACATTGAGAAGTAGATGCTTCGATAGCCTTGGCAGCAACAGAAAGAGAAGCATCATGCTCTTTAACAACCGAAGAGAACATAACTTTAAGAGCGGCTTCAAAATAAGCATTGGCGGAGGAAGAAGAAAGCAGCTGATTAAGCTTTTCAGTAACAGCCTTGAGATGGCTCTTGGTTACTGGAGCATCTTCGTCGTCATCACTCTGGACACGATAGGGACTGAAATAAGTAGAGTCAAACTCTAAGTCCTCACCACCTAGAACTGTGTTGGTTTCAGTGGATTGGGTAGGAGATAGTGGTTTGGTGGTAACTGGAGGTTCGTTTGAGACTGGGGGTTCGGTTGTGACAGGAGGTTCGATTGTGAAAGGAGGTTCGGTTGCTGAAGAACGAGCCCCCGTATCAGATACATTGGTTCGTACTCCAGTAGTGGTTGTAGAGGTGGCTTCTGTAAAGATGGGAGCAGAAATGGGAATAGTAGTGGATGGTTGAGATGTAGTGATGGGAAAAATAGGAGGTATAGAAACAGGAATAGAAACTGGTGTAGGTGAAGGAGCTTTAGACCGAACATGTACCTCAGGTGTAGGGGAGTGCGGCGGTGTAGCACCACGAGCCGAAGCCTCCTCATCAGAGCTTTCGCTCTTTGAGTCCGTGTGAGTAGAAGGTTTGATAATAGGAGAAACATACTCAGAATCTGAATCACTGGATGATTGAAGAATTAGTCACCGGGCTGGCTTCTTTGACTCCTTCTACTTGGGTTGGGAAGGAGCAGCTTTGTCTGACTTTCTCTTCTTGGGAGTTTGTCCCTTGGTTGGTTTAGTGACTCTCACCTCCTTCTGAGTTTCTGGTTTCTTGCCCCTCTTCGTAGGCCTATCTGCTTCCTCAATTGAGTGAATCATAGTAGGAGTGAGTTCCCTTGGGCCCGAAGAAGGAAGCTTCTTGTATTCTTGAATAAGATTGCTTGCATCAGACATGCATGCATACATAGCTGCTGGGATCGAGCCAATCATGGAATACTTGGTAGGATCGGTGACAATGATCTTCGTAGTGTGAAAGGTTGCAATAGATGAATGGAGAGAGTCTGTCATGATTAGAACGTGCAGACGATCCATCGCCCACTTGGTAATAATGGACCAGTACCTTCCACATGAAATCTTTGAATGGCGTGATGAAGAATATAAACTCTGAAACCAGTTGTTCCCAGATGACTGCCCCATAGTCCAAGGTAATCCAATGATACAGTCCATAAAGCACAATCATAAATGACTTGCTTGCTCCATCTGAGTCAGCGCTACGCTCCGAGAGACCTTTGAATAGAAGAGTGAAGAGGCTGTTCCATTGTGGAGGAAGGCAGAACTTCTTGAATTTGGTAATGGTGGCTAGGGTTTCAGTGCACCCCATTTGGTAGACCATAGAGAACAGTTGACTGGTAGTAATCGAATCAAGATTTACCAGGGTGGGTTCATGAGCAAGACCAATTAGGACACAAAAGCGATTCTTGGAGATAAATGTCTTCTCGTTGTGGATTTCAAAGTGAATTCTCTCAGCAACCTTGTCATAGTAAGCGATTGAATAGATGTGGGAGAGGCAGGACATGGGAACGACTTCAACCTTTGTAAGAGCGTTGACAAGAGGTGAGTACTTGAGACACTCGATGACATACAACATATACGATTCATAGATGAAGGGGGGGGGGGGGTAAGATCAATGATGAGGTTTTGTTGAGGCTTGATCATGAGGAGGTTAGAGTGAACAGATGTATCTTGAACTGAAGAGGATTCTGCCATTGATGAAGCTTTGAGAAGAAGAAGATGCACAGTGAGAGAAATCAACGTTTTTCTTTGAGAGAATTTGTAAGTGATAAAAGAGGAAAGTGGAGCGTGCCAAATCCTTTTATACGTACAAGTAGGAGAGAGAAATATCCGGCTGAAATCTTGGATTTATTAAAAACCGTGCCTGATGTGATGGAGTGAACATTTGGCAACCCCGATGATGACGCAGGAGAGAGAAACGACGTTTCACTGTTACGTGCCTTTCCATGAAAAGTGACTTTTTCAAATCATCAAAATGATTGGATAACTGCTAACTTAACCAAGAACTTTATCCCAAACGTAACCCACATATTTTTCATGAACGATCATCGCCTTTATCTTTATCGATCACTGGAGTACTTTAACAAACGAAGCTGTAACAATTATGTCATCGTTAATAGAAGCAGATTTTGGAAAATCAAATATTTTCATGCATAGAGTGTGAATGATAAAGAAATAAAGCAAACTTTTTATGGTAATTTGTGATGTCTTGTTAAGACATGAAGCAACTGATTCTGGGCACGAATCTCTTCCTTCAAAGTCAAGAGAGACTTCAAAGTGCTTGTGTGGCTTCCCATTAATTAACGATCAAGTACTTTTTAAGAAGCATTGAAAGGCATCTTTTTAAGTAAAGCTATAAAGGTTGGCTTTCGCTTCAATTCATGATTTCGATACTTGACATAAGACCGAAAATTAACGAAGTACTTGTGAGACCAATGTAGCCTGTTAAACAAGTAGGTAAGTAAGATATTCAGTGACTTGATGACAAATGAGAAATCTCAAAAAAAAAAAAACTTAACTGGATCCTCGGGGAAGAAAAATCTTGGTAATAGATATTTTCAGAAGGATGACTCCAAATAAAAAGAGATTTCATTTAAGAACCGTATCATAGTAATGATGCAACGTCAATTCATTAAATGTGTTGAATTGTGGGTTTCACTTAGTATGTAGTGACACGAAACTGAGATCATAAACACATATATTTGTAGAACCATAAACCTCAGTGGTAAATGCTAAGAGTCTTAAGGGTTACATAAGTGAGATAAAGTGTAATGAAGAAAAATGTTGTAGGTGGTATAAGAAGCAAATGTACCGCTGCTATAAATGAAGGACTAAGCAGAAAACTTTAAGCTTAATATGAGAAGAGTAAGGTAGCTCATGATTAGAGTGAATGTAACATCCTAGTTTGCGAAAACATAATTTATATGTGTCATGTTATTAAGGCTTCACTCAAAATCTGTAGATGCTTTACTCAACATGCAACAGCATGCTTCTAGGGACACTTAACTAATTTATAGAATAGAGGTTATACCTGTTTCAACTTCACCATCGAGAGTAATATTTATACAAAGAAAAACATTAGATGAAAATAAAATAAAATAAAAGATATTTTTGTATTTTGTGAAATTTTTAATAAAACAAAAAAGAAAAATATTTTTTGATTTTATGAAAATAAAAAAAATAAAAGAAACATTAAAAAATTATTTAAAAGAGTGTGCAAAAGAATACAATAAAAATGCCTTGTGATGATCAAGAAGCGAACGAAACGACCAAACCCGAAATAGACCGAGCGTTCGGTTCATTTAGGTTGTTGGTTGAACCGAACCTGAAATAGACTGAGCGTTCGGTTCATTTCGGTTCGCTCTATTTCGCTTCTTACATTTATTGAAGCGAAGGCGATTTTGGTACTAATTCTGCCTCCATCATTCCTAGGCCTTGTAAGCTTTTGTTGAAACTAATGGGTTTTATACAAACAATCCTAAGTGTGCATGCAACCCTAGTTTGAATTTATGTTTTCACTATTAGATACACAACATTATGAACACAAGAATAAAACCCTAATGTGCATTGCTATTTTCAAAATTAACATACAAAGGTTGGTTTACATACCTCTTGTTGTTATATTGCAATAACAACTTAAATCTTCAAATCCTAAGTCTTGAAAGCAAGCACCACAAGTGTAGTGCCTCTAATGGCTCACAAACACCACAAGCAATTGGAGAGGCTTAAGATAGAGGAGGGAGGAGTTGGAATTCGTCCTTGGGACCTCTTAGGAGCATGTACACGAATTCACAAGGCCTAGGGGTCTTTATATAGGGTTTAGATTAGGGTTTAAGTCCTTATCCTTATCCAGTTACTTGCCCACCAAGCAACCACAAGATAAGCCTTGAAAAACCCTTATCCTCTTATCCTTGGACGATTTTAAGGATATCCTTATCCTTAAATTCGTTCATCCTTTAACAAGGATAAATATTGCCCTATCTTGCAACTATCTTATAATTACAATTCAGCCCCTCTAGTTTAATTAATTACACTTGATCACAAAATTAATTCCTAATTAATTATTGACCAATATTAATTAAACAAATATGATTTTCCTTTAATATATTATTCTTATAACATATTAATAAATCACAATAACCTCTCTCTCTATTTAATTTCTCCAGTCAAGTTGCTTTGGTGAAGGCAACCCAAAAGGACCATGCACAACCGGGTCAAGTACTTACCAAATATGGTTACGGGCTTAGACACTAATCCAACAGTCTCCCACTTGGATAAGTCTAGTAACCACAAATGTAACGTGCAACCCGATTAGCAATCGTAGCTCTCAAAGACGCTGTCAAACTTTGATCTTATCAGTAACCTGTCCTATAGATAAGGGATCGTACAGTCCTCTGTTAGATATCATGCTGACAATTCTATGGAATGATTAGTCAAGCATTTAGGTTTCTCGATCTCCGATTTATTTGACATAGAACTTAATCGAACACATCAATTTAGTTCTGACCGGGCCCGCACATAAGTCAAATCAAATCATCGAGCGGCCGAGATATCTCTTCTACCCTCTTAGGATAAAATTTACAGATAAACTTCGACTTATATGCATTTACTTATTCAATAATCAACTATACACAACAATGCGTTTTATAACATTGAGTTACCAATGCGTTTTCGCATTATCAATGTACAATCAATTAGCAAATAATAAACCATATATCTAGGTTTTAAGACTATATGATATTATCGTCTTACGATCACCTCTTATATATCATATTCCATACGGTGATTCCAGCAAGCGCGGGTTTGTTCCAATGCTCAAATCCAGTTCATAAGCACTCATGAACGTCGCAACAATCTTTTGCTATGTCTAATACCATTTAGACAATCTACGCACCAATTCACGACAATCTTCATTCATATCTACTTCCAACATATGAACGATTGTGGACAATTTGAATAATTCGATTATTCCTAATAAACTCAATTATTCTGGAAGTCAAAACATGCAAAGTGAAACAATAGTTAAACAATTAACATATGACAGTAACTTTACTTATAAATAAAACTCCTTTATTTAATCATCAAATGTCAATTACATTTATCTATTATACGTTTCTAAAACTATCTAATCTATGCTAATACCATCCTTCAGCCCAATACTCCTAGCATGCTGCAAGTGCTTAACCCTACTCAGTCCCTTCGTAAGCGGATCTGCTGGGTTATCTTCTGATGATATCCTCTTCACTATGAGTTGTCCTTCTTCTACACGATGTCTGATGAAATGATATTTTCTGTCGATATGTCGAGATCTACCATGATCCCTCGGTTCCTTGGTCAAGGCAACCGCTCCTTCATTATCACAGAAAATCTCCATGGGCTCCTTTATGGCGGGTACAACTCCAAGGTCACCAATGAAGTTCTTCAGCCATATTGCCTCCTTCGACGCTTCACTCGCTGCTATGTACTCTGATTCGCACGTTGAATCAGCTACTGTTTCCTGTTTGGAACTCTTCCAAGTCACTGCTCCTCCATTTAGGGTAAAGACCCAGCCCGATTGCGAACGGTAGTTGTCCCTATCGGTTTGGAAGCTGGCGTCACTGTACCCTCGCACCTTCAAGTCATCACTCCCTCCGAGGACTAAAAACCATTCCTTCGTCCTCCGAAGGTACTTAAGGATATTCTTCACAGCAATCCAATGTGCTCTGCCAGGGTTCCCTTGATATCTACTAACCATGCTCAAAGCAAAGGCTACATCAGGGCGAGTACAAGTCATAGCGTACATGATTGAGCCAACTGCGGAAGCGTAAGGAACTCGGCTCATTTCAGCTATCTCAGCTTCGGTACTCGGACTTTGAGTCTTACTCAATCTGGCATTACTTTGT